GTAAGTAGAGGTACCACTGTACTTTGCTTCATTCTTTATTGGTAAGTCAAATTTAAGTGTTCTTCTCCTTTAATTGTAATCTTAGTTCCTTCTGATTCCCTTTAGTGGCCAACCTTCAAAGTCCCACCCTATCATATTTTTTTTAAGAATTCAAACCAACAGTATTTTCCCACTGGATTATTATTAATTTCAAAATCTTATTTCAAATCCATCTGGACTCTTAGTCCATTTGTAACTTTCCAAAATCAGCACTCTAATCACTGTTTTGCTGTTTACTCCAAAAAATATTTTTTTAATCCTTAAAGTTGTATTTCAAACTTCTTTCATTAAGGATTGAAGGAAACTCACCAGGTGTTTTCAAACTTGTCGTTTTGAAGGTTTCTAATTGCTGAAAAGCAGTTAATCAGCAATTTCCAAACATGATTAGAAAAGGAAGTATGTGAATCCTGTATCCTTTGAAAAGGTACCAACCCCAGTTTGAATTAAGATGGCTTCCCTCATCTCCCAGAGCGCTAAACACACTGGAGACCACTGTCTGGTGGTCTCCTCATGAGGAGCAACTGTCTGGAGTACTTGTGGGTTAGGGTTGTGGGTTAAGTCCTCCCCTTGTCTGGAGAGGAATCCACTCGCCGGCTCTTCATTCCGTCACGTCAACTCTACTCTCAGTGGAGCCATCTTTAGTTCACCATTTCTTCCCTGGCAACCAGATTGGACAGCTCTTCTGAAGCAAAGCGGACTACAGACAAAAAGCTGAATTGAATCTGTGTCTATTATTCAATCAAAGAACTTCTAGTAGATCAACCATATGTTTTAACTGATTACAGTGCAATCCTACATGGAACTAAGAAGCTCCTCTGAATTCACTAAAGTTTGCTCCCAGTCCCAGATGAATATTGACTGCAGTTTGAATCTATATAGATTCACATGTGAATTAAAACAAGAAAAAAATAATTTTGATTAATCAATCACGTTATAGGTATGTTACACATTTTTGTACCTGGCAAAATATTTGTAGGGATATACATTCATAACCTCTGTATGCTTGTCTCCAAAGTGAAATTATGGCACTAAAATGTAGTGTTTAATGAATTCAAGCTACAAACTGATGGCCTAATTAAATGTTTAAGAATCATACTTGTCCTTATACTGGATGGGCAGTCGACAGGTCCAGGCTTTCAAGTTATCCCTTTTTGTGGCTCTTTAGTCTTTTCTTCTCATGACTTTTAAAAACTGATGAGAGTTTCCCACTATTCTGAGTTTGGAAATACATTAAAAAGCTCTAAAATATGTATATAACAGTTAAAATAAAGAAATTCCTCAGAAAACCAACCCCACCTCCGTGTATGATGCAGTTCCACCCATTTTGCAGCCATCACTGTCACCCCAAACATTAAGTACAATCCCAGCTACTAAAAGGTCAAGCATCCTTATTATGTACTTTAGTGCCATAATTTAGCTTTTCTCATGATGTTCAGTTTATCAATACTATCTAGATACAAAACATTCCATAGATTAACTGTTCTGTTATGGGTGGTCCATGTCCAGATCAGCAACGTGCAGATTTCAGAAGAAATATTTCAGAGAGAGACAGCAAGAAAAAGCTAAGATTATCAGCAGCAGTGCATGGCAGGAAGGTAGGGAAAGGAAGTAACTAGGAATATGGGTGGGTGGGTAGATGAGTAGACCAGTAGGATACCCTGTACTTTTAGCCATGGAAATCAGTGATACCAATTAAGGGGAGGTAAGGAAAGGAAGGTCCTATGAAAATCGAGGTTGGATATGTCACACTTGAAAAAGAAATCAGTGGCATCTAAGGGGAAGTAGGAAAAAGGATATCCTGAGAAGATCAGCAAGCAGGCTAATATACAGCCTATACATAGGAAGAAAAAGATAAAGAAGGGCAAAGTGCCTGAGCTGTGCAATACTTTACACCATAAACCCCTCCAGAATTGTTTCAGCTGAAACCCAGAAGAATCAAAATGTTCCAGGTTTCAATTCCAGCAAACTGCAGTCTATCCAGAACTTTTTGTCAGAACTTGTAAAATACAATGTGTTTATTTCAGCTAGGAACACACTTTCCATTTTCCATATCCCCTTACTAGAAATGCAAAATGATGCATTTTACAGGGGGAAAAAAAAAGGAAATAAGAGAATGTATGTGTGTGTGTATGTGTGTGTTAAGGTTGCAATCCTATACCTAGTTTCAAGTCTCACTGAATTTGATTAGAGTTTTTTAAGTAACCACATGTACAAGGTTGCATTAAAAGAAGAGTAATAGTAGAATTTCCATAATGGCTATTCTTAAAGTCAAGTAGACATGATAAAAAAGAGTGCCTCTCTGTCCCCTCCGCAGGGTTCTTTCTCCACATTGTAGTCTGTAATTTCTATCACTACTGATTGATAAGAGAACAAAACCTTTTAGAACTTTGGTGTTAAATATGTCTATATTCTATAATGAACAGGGTATTAATCTTTCCTATAAACTTGGACTACTGTGCCTCAGGATGACCACACTGCATTTATCAAATGTTGTGATAACCTGTACTTCTGGCAAGAAAGGCTGGTGCTTCCCATTCCACTGTGAAAAAAGTAATTGTCCCAAAAAATCCAACAACTGCCATAATTAGAAGTTGCCACTGAAGAAACAAATAGTTGCTGTAGAAGTAAGCAACAGCTGCACAGACAGACTGAAAAGAAAAAACAGAGATGTTATAAATACAAGCTTAATGACAATCCAATTCAATTACAGCCACTGATTTTTAATGCCATCTCACCTCCACTTTTAATTACTGGAGCATAAACTTTCCCAAGCAGGTTTCTTTACAGAAGCAAATATACTTATTCCAAACTGGACATGCCAATATACAGATTACTTATTGTGAGAGAGTGTTGTTTGTGTATACCAAATCCAACACAGTATTTCATTGTAGATTGAACTAGGCTGTTCATTCTCATTCTGAATCTATCATTTCCATTTTATCCATTTTGTTTTTTAAACTGAATTCTTTATATATACTACCAATTTTGCATTTCATTTAAATATTTAATTTATTAATGTCTTGGGGCTAAATAATTTGGAGTAAGCCCCAGTGAGATCAGTAGGAATTACTTCTGAATAGAAAAATATAAGACTGCATTGCAAAACACTAAAAAGTATTTTCTATGTATATACGCCACCTTGAACTCCTGGAGGAAAGGCAGGCTATATATCTAACAACAAACAAAAATATACCTCAATGGACATGTTTCCACTTTTTGCTACCGTAACACCAACTCTTATAGTTCTCACTTGATAATATCAGACACAGTCAGAAATTAATTCCACCATCCCTTTAATATACTAATTTTTCCTAGCAGTAAAGGGGAAAGTTTCCCTCAAGTTATGCTCAGTTCTTGATGACTCAATAGATACATCCATGAAATTCTTTGGCAACAGTACAGTAATACAGTATGGTATAGTACTTCTTCCACAATGTGGTGAAAGTGGGTGGGTTTTTTTAGCCCAGTCTACAGGGATTTCTGGTGGTTCCTACCCAAGTGTAGTCATGCCTAATTGTGCTTAATGGCCAAGTAAGACAAGATCAGCTAGGTGCTATGATGTGCTGAGACACTTTATTCAATGAAAATGAAATAATTATTAGGTTCCTCCCCTTCTGGTGTAGTGGTCAGGGCTAGAATCCGGGAGACCATGAGTTCTAGTTCTACCTTAGGCACAAAGCCAGCTTGGTGACCTTGGGCCAGTCTCTCTCTCTCTCAGCCCTAGGAAGGAGGCCAGGGCAAACCACTTCTGGAAAACCTTGCCAAGAAAACTGCAAGGATTAGTCCAGGCAGTTGCCAGGAGTCAAAAACTGACTTGAAGGCCCTCCTCCTCCTCCTCCCCTGGTTCTGCCACTTGGAAACAGACATTACCTGAATGAATTTAAATATTGCAAAGGCAGGTGCACTGTCTTCAGAATATAGGAATCCCAGAATACTAAGGAGTTGAGTATTGAAACAGCTATCTCCAAAGCCCAGTAAGAAACTGCAAAAAATGGCCACTTCTTTGCTGAAATAAAGAAGCAGCGAACAATAAACTCATAATTATAATTTAAAAACAGTATTATGTTCAGTTTGATCATTTCTCATTTTTTCAGGATTGAGAAATACAAGAGAAAGGTGGCCCAGATGATAAGCAAACAGATGTTTCATTTCAACATAAGCATTTTTAAAAGACAGCTTTTCCCAATCCAGTCTTTTCATGTATGGTCTATTCCCAACACAGCTGTATGTCACAAGATTGGGGAAAGCCATTTCAGAGTATTTCTATATTTTATTTATTTATTTTATTAATTTATATAGCTGCCCATCTCAAATATATGACTCTGGGTGGCTCATAAACAATTAAAAACAATATAAAAACACCAAAACCATACAAAAAATGCAATTTAAGAATGTTATAGGGTCACTATTCTCTAATACCACCTTCTCTCAAAAATTGCATAGCATTTGTTTGTACATAACCTTTCACATACATTTACAAAATACTGGAGAACAACGGGGTTCCCTTCCTATAATTCTTACAGCCTTCAATATGCTTTGATTGGGGCTGCTAATAGTGTTCTTTTAAAAGGGTCACTGATTTCAGGTAAGGCCTGATAATCATCAAAAACAATATGCCTCTTCCTCACAACACCGTTATGGCATTTTATGTCAAACAGAAAAAGATTGCTGTCGTTTTGCTTTATGGAGCTCCAGTACTCAAACAGAACGGGTTCAGATTCATCCATTTTGCACCAGAGAAGTGCAAATCTACTCTGAATTATCCTGTGCCACTTCAGGATATCTGTGCGTGTGATATAGACACCAAATTTAGATTCTGTTACCATTTGATTAAATTAGAGTTTCTGACCACCTAAACCATACACTGTCTATTAAACAAGATTCATAATTCATTTCAGAATAGCCTGGAGAAATTAGCTTAAGGTACCTGAAGGAATCATTTAGCTATAGGTTCACCTGAGCAAAATAAAGCTTAACCCCCACCACCACCATCAAACAAAGCTTGTATGATTGAAGAATTTCCAGTTATGAAATTCTATGAAATTTCCAGTTCTGTTTCATAATAGGGAAACACAATTGCAAAAGCTACTACAATAGAGGAATTTCAAATTGAAAGTTGGATCTTTCATCTTGAAAAACAATCAAAACATACAAGAAAGATCTTCAGATGCTGGTAATTCATTAGAGCAAAGGTGACTTGTTCCTGAGGGCAAAAAAACCCCAACAAGCAGGCAATAATTCAGGATTCTGTGCACTAGCTACATCTTCAGCTTACTGCTTCTGCAAAAATATACATAGTTCTCGCCTAAAAATAAGCTGAATAGGAGAAGCAAAAATATGTACCTTGGTTCCATGAATGCCATGCTATCTGTTCCTTCCATGGGGGCAATAGGTGCATCATTTGGTATGTTATAGAAAATCAAATAGAAAGCTATGAAATGGACCACAATGCCTAACATCACCACTGGGTTCCTGCCAAATCTGTTGTTCTTACTTAGGAGGCCAAAGATTCCTCCACCTGTAACAGTGAATATATAATTATCAGTATGGAAAATTAGTTGCTTTAATACAGACACTCACAGGACAAATTAAGAAACAAGATGTTTACTGCAATTGTTAAAAGGAAAGTGTTTTCTTGAAAACTAGTTTCTTAGGATTCCTGCCATTAAGGAATTATCTGAACTGGAACAGTTGGAACCTATCTTAGCAATATTACAAATGTCAATAGCTGCCAGTATTTTACCAACCATAATCCATGACGAGGTGCTTTCAGTTATGATAACCTGCTGGTGGCACTCTCACTCTAAAGAGATCCACTAAGTGCATACTGTTATATGTCAAGCAAGATCTTATTTCTCTAAAGCATATGAGTTACTTTAAATGGCTGCTAATTTATTTGATTTTTTTCTTTAGCTAATAATGTTTATAGTTTGGTTTATTATATTGCCTGGAAAGTGCCTACGAGTGAACTGGTGTCACAGCAAACTGGAGCAAGTACTATACTAATGATAACATTACACTGGAATAACTGAACCATGCTATTCTATCAAAACAATACACCTGCTTTTTATACTGAACAGATGCTTGTATCCAAACTCAAAGTCCAATACCAGAGAACTCACATATTCTATAGTGAGTACAAAAGGAAGAAGGCAAAGAAAAAAATTTAAGACAACCTTGTTCATGAATTTAAAGCAAAAAAACAAAACAAAACAAAACAAAATCCTTTGAGAATGGTCTGGGGAGTCTTATTTAGTTTTTGTTCAGTTGTTTTGCACTAGTAAGGTTCTGAAGACAACTGTGGAACCAATCTGTGATTGAGGTGGCATACAAGTTGACAAACAAATCAGTAACAGTCCTTGCTGCTATTTCCTAGTGGAACATAGACAGAGTGAGACCTACTTGCTTAGCCATTCCTCTACACTGAAAGTTTAACAACTGATTTTGAACAGTCTATTACCTTAGTTCATTGCTGTGTTACTTTATCTACCTGCACATTATACAAATTTATTTAAATGTCAGAAAATATTTCCTATTATTATAGTTTCAGTTTAAACTCACCTAATATTTCTCCAATGCCAATGAAAATACCGGAGAGTCCAATAAGACTTTTTTCTTCAGCACCAAATTTCTTTACAGCACCTATACAAGTTCCATATACTCCAGTGAAGAATGTTAATTCCAGACCTTGAAAAACAACATTATTTCAGGCATTATTATATGCAAGTATTTTATCCTTAAGTACAGTCCTTTCAGAGGTGCCTTCAGTAAGAAAGGTTTCAATGATAATTATGTAGCAAAATTCTCATACCCCAATGAACTCTTCACAAGACTCAGTTTAAAAAACCAAACACCACTTATTAGCAAACAACGTAATTCACAGATGGGCAACAGAATAGTGCATTTAAGTACATTCAATGTATGTAATACCTTTATACTAGCTGATGGCAGATCAGTTAGCTGTCTTTCTATGAGTGGATCAAAATATTCTGGCCCCCAAATTACTGTCTTCAGAATAGGGTAGGCCTCTTTGAATACAGAAACTGGCTATCCCTGCTGTTGTAACTACACAGTAGCCTGACAGATGATGAAGGCCAGAATTAATTGCATTTCTGCCATAAATATTCCCCAAATTCAACAGCTCTGTTCCAAAGTAAGTAAAGACATCCACAAGTTGAACTTGACTCATGATGACTACTTGGACATGTCCATGCAATTTTCTTGGCAATAATATAGGATGCTTATTTTTCAATTTCCCAGTCTAGAAGATAGCCCTGCGATTCCTGGAGATTCCTACCGAGGCCCAATTCAGGTTTGGCTTTTTTGAAATCAACCATTAAGTAGGTGCTGCTACCTACTGTGACAAATTATAATATACTTTTCTTAATTCAGTATATTTGTAAGTATACAATATCACTAGCAGAACCAAGGAGCTGGATTATGCCTTTCTAAAATTAAGAGACTGTTTTAATTCCAAAGATTTATTCCAACAATGTAAAGAGATCCTAGATAAGAATTATTATAATCCAGTTCTAAGATAAAATTGTAAAAAGGGAACAAACTGTATAAATACATTTCAAATTGACCGCAGCTGTAATAAAAAATGTTTTATTAATTTATGCCATAGTGCAGAAGAAATTGACCAGTGTGGTATTCTAACATCAAGAAGCAGTAGGTAGTAAGGAAGCGAAGTGTTAGGATTGGCAAGAATGTTTGCATACAATACCCTCATAATGTCACCAAGGTTTACAATAACACTGGTGTTCACATCAGCCCTGAAAACTAGCATGCCATGTGTGTGAGATATATTGTATGTATAACTTGAATTTCCTGGATAAAAATCAGATATAAAGTGAATGAAGCAACTGCAATTTTACCAACTTGCAGGTAGGCCTCGGATTACGACAGCAATTGGGACTGGAATTTCCATTGCTAAGTGATGTGGTCATAAAGTGTGACATCACACGATCGCATTGCTTAGTAACGGCAATCCTGGCAGTCCCAGCTCCTATCATTAAGCGAGGACTGCATTGGTTGTTAAGTGAGGACCTCACATGACCTCGCTGAGGAAAGAGGCACTGAAATCGTGTCAGGCAAGCAGGCTGGAGGACAAAAGCTACGGAGTACAGCTGGGTCGGCACCACAGGCAGGCACTATGGAGTGTGGGCAGGTGCTAGGGGCAGGCACTATTCAGTGTGGGCAGGCGAGTGCCACAGACAGGCACTATTTATTTATTTATTTATTTATTTATTTTCAGACTTGTATGCCACCCATCTCCCCCAACGGGTGACTCTGGGCG